AGGGCAGTGAGTGGGTGAGCTGAACAGACACCTGGAAAAGAGACTGAGAAACAGAAAAAGTAACAGGTTCACAGGTGCTGAAGTATTGGTGGTCATGCTGTTGACCTTGACCACACTCACACACACACACAAACTCACTCACAAACACCAAGGCTGAGATGTAGAGACCTCTTCCAAATCCAGGGCATCATCTTTCCATCCCAACATATACATCCAAATATTGATCAATTTCTCTCTTCCCTCCTAGTTTCACTCTTAAATTTCTGGAGCCTGCCCACCACTGCCCAACTCGCTATTGTGTCAACCAATGCTGCCGAAGGAAGGATGTGATTCTACGTATCCGCAATAAGCCTCCCAATGCTATAGGCTTCACGTGGTACCGGGGGGAAGGGGCAAACTACTATCATCATATTGCAACTCTCACAACACACATAAGAGTTTATAAAACAGGGCATGCATACAGCGGTCGAGAGCAAATAAACTATGATGGATCCTTGCAATTAAAGCAGGTCACCCAGAAGGACACAGGAATCTACACCGTAGTAGTCTACCTTCCAGGCTCAATAAAAGAAATAGGATTTGGACGGCTCAATGTGTACGGTGAGTGATTGCTCTCTGACCTCTGGGTGTTGGGTGGGTGAACACACAGGGCTGACAGCCCTCAACTCTGCCTCCATCCCTCTCTGCATCATCTCCCAGGTTGGGTTTTGGCATTTAGTGCAGGACACACACAGTGGAGACAAACTTTCTAAGATCAGAGTTCCCTTTCAGGATTCTAGCCCTGCAGACATTCTCCAGAGAGAAGGGCCAGTCTGATGGGAGTCTCTCAGCAGAGAGAGACCAGTCTCAGTCCGGTTCCCTCGGCCCCTCCCCATGACCATGACCCTGAGAAAGACCCTGCAGGGCTCGGCCAGGGCCCATCCTGAGGAGCCCCCTGCAATCCTCATAAAGAAGATCAGCTTTGGCAGCTCCGCCCAGACTCCAGTCCCAGGGCTTCTGACTCCAGGGTGCCTGAGCATCCTGTGTCATTTTGGGGTTAACCTCCTGGGAATGGCTGAGTGGGTGCAATGGTTTCCCAGGTGTCTGAGTCACAAGGCTTTTGAGCTGCTCAGAAGCCAGAGCTCAGCCCCATGAGCCACATCTGGATAGGGGTGGTGCTTCACCTGAGACTGAGTGTGGCTAGCACAGATGGACAGGGTTGCCAGGCCATTTGTGAACTACACTGAAACATTTAGTAGAGTCCAGAGAAAGCTCAGAATCACAGGGAACGAAAAAGAGGAAAGATGATCCTGGCAGCTCCTCATCCACCAGGGATCAGCCCAGGAGATTCTCTCTTGGAGTTGATCAATAACAGATATCCCTCATTTGAGCAGCTCCTCTTTTTCCAATGTTTAGTCAGATACTGTGAATATTTTATTGTTAATGCACTGACACCCTGGCAGTCAAATGTTCATCGTACTGCATTGAGAGGAAACCAAGGCACAGAGAGATATAGTCACTAAAGCAGAGCCACACAGACCATGGGAGTGACTGAAGGTCTGTCTGCAGCGATTACCTCTCCTCCATCCCAGAGCGATCCCTAAAGCAAACATTGCTAGCTCTTCCCTTAGGCATCCCCAGTTCAGAGAGAGAAACTGTGGTCTAGAAAATAACACCAAATGGAGAATTAATTTATTTTTACTCTAGAACCAAATTAACTGCAGTAACAATCAGTCAGTGCTGGGAACACCCAGACCTTCCATTCAGCTGGATGGTCCACCCCTCCCTGCACTGGAGGTAAAACCACTGATTTGTTTCCTGATGTGTTGGTGTCTTTCCCACTGGATATAAAAGAAAGGACTTTGCCTGCTCGCTCCCCATTTTACACTTGTAATCAGCTAAGGGATCAAGATGTAACACTCGGTTGTTTTGATGAATTAGGAAGAAATAAATGGCTCCTGAAGGAAGGAATGAGCTAAAACCTCTTCACAGGCTGAAACCTGGATGCAGTCCTTGGATTTCTAGCCACATGGGAAAGGCTCCCTGTCACTCCAGGGTTTGAGACCCATTTCTCAGACCCTTTGCTGTTTTCTAGAAATAGTCCTTCTTGTTATTGCTCTTAGGCCCTTGGGTATTAATAGTAATTTTTGCATATGGTGGAATTTTAAGATCTTTCCAAATTTCAATCTCATAACCACCAAACGCAAATGGTCCACAAGTGTCCGAATGGCAGCAATCCATGTTCCCCTCTTGCATTCATCACACCTTCTGCATCTGTACAAGCCTCACCTTCCCTCCCCAGACGGAGAATGACTTTAATGATGAAGGGCAAAGCATATGTTTCTGCTGCCACAATCAGATCCTGCCTGTCCCTTCACTCCTTTCTCGCTCATTCCTTGGGCTCTGCTCTATCATTTATTGGCTCACTGGCTCATGTCAGTCACACTAACCTTGGAAAGCCTGACCCTGCTCTTAGCCCCAGGGCCTGAGTAGTCAACTAACCACAGGTTTGATCCTGGTCCCCTCTTTTATTTCTGCTCCAATTTGAGTCTCTAAGATGTCCTGGGATATGGTGCCTCTTAGAAACACACCTCGGCTGGGTAATGAAGGTCTGTGCAGCTGGAAAAAATTGCAGTCAGCTGGTCAGTGAAGAACTAGGAGAGGTGTGGGAGGATTAGGGGGAGAGGGGTGTCTCTAACTCTAGGTTCTCTGTTTTTCCACAACCAAATGTGGCTAATCAATTGAATGGTTCCCTTCATTTGTTGAAAAGACTGCCCTTTCTCCATTGAACAGTCTTGGCTTCTGACAAAGGCTGTGCTTTCTCCCAGATATAGAGGATTTAAGTTCTCTGAGGGCTCAGAGCCCCAGACATTTGTCTTGTGATACATAGACCTGCCTTATTCCTTTAAGTTGACTGAGAGGTGAGAGGTGCCAACACTGATTGAAGAAGGCTTGGAGGATTCAAATGTCCCACAGGGCAGTGTTCTCCTGTTACCTGCTCAGTGGAGTTACCCACACTCAATATCACAAGCATCAACTTTGAGAGATTTGATTTATATTTTACTAATGGTAGTGATTTTGAGCATCTTTTCCTGGGCTTATTGTCCTTTTGTATATCTTCTTTAGAGAAATGTGTATTCATGAGGTTTGCCCATTTTTTAAATCAGTTTATTTGGTGTTGCTGTTGTTCAGTTGTAGGATACCTTTATATATTCTGCATATTAACCCCTCATCCTATTAATGATTTGCAAAGGATTTTCTACCATTACACACATTACCTTTCACTCTGTTGATTGTGTCCTTGGATGAACAGAAGTTTTCCATTTTGACAAAAATCTAAATTATCTAATCTTTTCTTGCCCGAGTTTCTAGTTTCATATTCAAGATATCACTGCCAAATACAATGCCATATTGCTTACCCCTATGCTTTCTTCTAAGAGTTTTATAATTTTAGTTCTTACTTTTAGGATTCAATCCATTTTGACTGAATTGTTGTGTATGGTATAAGCAGTGGACCCCTTTATTTGTTTGCGTGTAGACATTTCTGTTCAATGGCTTTTGTTCAAAAGACTGTCCTTTCCCATTGAATAGTCTTAGCTCCTTTATCACAACCATTTGATTGTGTCTTTTGACAAATAGAAGTCTTTATGCCAGTGTAACTATTTTGATTACTTTCCCTTTGTCGTAGGATTTCAAATTAGTAGCTGTGAGACCTTCAATTTCAATTCATCCTTTTTAAGATATTTGCAAACATTTGGGATCCACTAAAATTCCACATAAATTCTGGGATGGATTTTTTTATTTCTGAAAAAAAGTAATTGGGATTTTGATAGGGATTGTTTCAAATATGTAGATAGATGGTGGTCTTGGAATCAATGAACATGGATGTCTTTCCAGTTATTTGTTGCTTCTTTACTTTCAGAATTGTTTGGTAGTTTTCAGTGTATTCATCTTCCACCTTATTATGTTTAACCCTAAGCATCTAGTCTTTTTGATGCTATTGTAAATGGAACTATTTTCTTTATTTTATTTGAGGATTGTTCATTTTTGTTTAAAGAATGGAAATGATGCTGAGTGTTGATTTTGTCTCTGGCGACTTCATCTTTTTTATTAGTTATACTAGTTGTTTTAGGTATGTATGTGGTGAAATCTTCAGGGTGTTCTACAATAAGATTATGTTTTCTCTTTTAAAAAGATATTTTCTTACGTCTCTCTAAATTATCTATCTTCTTGCCTGATTTTTCTGACTAGTTGAATTAGGGGAAAAACAGCATCCATGTCTTATTAATGATCTTAGTACTGTTTTCAGAGACTCTCTGTAGAGTAATGTATTAGCTGTGGACACTCATGTGTGGTCTTTACCATATTAAATAATTTCCTCTTATTCCTACAGTTTCAACCTTTTTAAAAATCATAACCATTTCTCTTTAGTCATTTATTTTACCATTATATGCAATCAGCAGGCCTGTAAATAAAGTCCTGTTCAGACTGAGGAGTCCTATAGATGGAACTTATCCAGATCCAAGGTCATGAAGACTGGGTTGGGCCATCTTTATTGCCTAATGAGTTATTTAACAAAATAGTTAAATGCACGTTCACTTTCTGTAAAGTCCCCTTGGCCCCAGTAGTAGGCAGAAGTGGTAAGATTGCCTTTCCCAACATACATGGAATTAAGTCAAAAGAACCTCTAGGAAAGGGTCAGTAAAAGCTCATGAGAGGAAAACTCCACCATACAGTGAGGATATAGGACACATGGGCCGCGAAATGGTTCCCTGTGTTGATATTACAAAGATGTCTATGGGAACAGGTCAGAGTTGATCTGGGTTAAGAGAAGAATTCCAACACTTGCCCTACACATCGTCCCAAAACAAAGACAATTGTCCTTCTGCAGAGAACAGAACCATCCTCTGGTGACTTTACAGAGCTCACAGTGGACTCTTAGAGGCTAAGATATCAGAAGAGTTATCATGGCCCAGGTCCCAAGCCACTCTCAATTACCCATGCCCTCTATTTCTCCACAGAGCCATTGACAGTGCCCACCCTCCGAGCCAGCAACACCATAGTCACGGAGCATAAGGATTCCGTGGTCCTCACCTGCTACACAAATGCAGTCTCCACACAGTGGTTCTTCAATGGCATGAATCTGCGGCTGACGGAGCGTATGAAGCTGTCCTGGAACGACAGAACCCTCACCATAGACCCCGTCAGGAGGGAGGATGCTGGGAATTACCAGTGTGAAGTGTCTAACCCCATCAGTTCCGCTGACAGTTATCCGGTTGAGCTGGATGTAAAATATTAGTGACCCTCCTCCTCTCCTATATGTTACTAAACTCTGAATATTCTTTAGTGCCCTTTAAATAGATTTGTTGTGAAGGTGGAAAGTCCTTAGAAGATTTGCATTGAGTCAATAAATTCTCAAAAAAGAGAGCTGACATTGTCATTATTGTTTTCTTAAGGTGAGAGTCTATACCAGATCCCACCTAGGTGTGGTCTAAGTTGTACCATCTCCACAGTGGAGGTGAAACCGAGTCTTTCAAGAGAATGGCAGTGGCTGTGTGATTACCCTGGGTGCATGTGATGAGTTTGCATAAATGCAAGCTCTGTCCCTCCTCCAGGGGGACATGTAGTGGATGCCCAGCCACTGTTGTTGGCAATGGGAATGGACAGGAGGACACCCATGTGGGTAACATCACTGATCTTTTTTTCTCCCTGTTTGACTTATTTCAAAAAATTTCTTAAGTCTTTTTGAGTATTTTTAATTATATGGCTAAAGACTTATTTGCATAAACTCAATAGAACTCTGTCTTCATTGTTAAATAGGGTATAATTGGAAACCTTAGTAATACAACCAAGGCTTTGGCTCAAATGTCCTAGTTCAGACTGATGCCCACAGAATTAGAAATGACCTCACCTTTCATGGAGCTAAATTTGACCTGCAGGGTTTTTTGGAATCTCTTGGAGATGAGGGCATTACCCAAAGCTAGAGGGTGAGGCTTCCTAACCTCAAGAGGCTGTTACAACTCCCATCTTCAGTTTCATAGAAAAACCTGCATCAGAGCAAACTATGTGGAAAATGTCAGTTCCTCTGCACTTCAGTCACTAATCAGGCCAAATACAGTGACACCAGCCATGTTGTAGGATGGAGAATACTCTTCTTCCTTGGAGGTGACCTGTGGTCAAGACCAAGGTGACTGTAGAGAGCAATGTAATGTCTCCATGGAGAACTCTAGAACTACAGTATTCTGGGGGATCAGATCCTGGCTGTGTTCAGCATCTCTCGGGTACTTTCCAACTGTTTTTAAATTGCTGGGGAATTGCACCTCTTTATACATTGCTGGAAATGATAAAGATGTCAACTGGGTCTTGGCTAAAAGAGATTTAGTTGTGTTTCCCTCCACTGTGCAGAAAGCAGTTTTGTTCTGAACTAGAGGCCTTAATATTTCCTCAGAGTCACTAATCTTTACACAGTTTCTTCCTGACAACATGCATTTGTCTTCTATCCTTAGATCATTTCTTTTATAAATGTAAGTAGTAATTTCACATTCTTTCTCTGAACTTTTGAAATATACATATGTCTCCTCAAAAGCTTCTTGCCAGTGTTATGACCCAGAGAATAACTGTCTCAAGGACCTGGCCCCATCCGTTTGAAATGTGATCCTCCTGGTGTCCCTGTGTCCCAGACTCTGAGGGAGAGTAGGAGCCTAACTTGGGTGGGGACATTTACAACCAAGATGTGAAAAGACCTCCTGCCAGGACTTCAGGAGATGGTTTACATTTCCTTTCTGTAAAGCCCATTAGCAAACACAGATGCCTATAATTCCCTCTTCTTAAAATCTCCCCAGCCTTTTCTATCAGGGCTGTTGAGTTTCATTTCACTGCCCTATTGCATGGTTCTGAAGAATGTCTTGCTAACCTCTTTAAAGGTGTTGGACACCTGTTTTAGTTTGTCATCATCTACCTGTAACTAGCTGATCCTGTCATTTTGCTCACATTGTCAATCCTAACCTTATTTTCAAATCTTCCAATTTCTTTCCTTATCAGGCTAAAATCCTCCGCATAAAGGTCTCCAGTTTTCCTGCCTTCCTTCTGACTTGGCATCCACAGCAGCATCTGACGTGACTTTGTAGATGCTTTTGAGGCTCCAAGTTGCCTCAGGATGGCCTTTGCACCAGAATCTGAGAAGACATGCAGGCCTGAAAGGGCACACGTCCACAAGGACCAAGCAATCAACAGTGTTCACATTTATTTCCACTGCATCTTCAAGGAACAAGATCACAGAGATTTTAACAAATATTCTGACTTGAACTTTAGAAACTCTAGTAAACATGCTGGTCCCGGACATGTCAGCCACCCACAGGCTGTCACTAAAAGATGCTGTTTTTTGTCCCCCGTGACCTGGAGCTCAGGCCAGACAGGTGTCCTCATACATTGTTTTCTTCATTGTTTTTACAATCGCCAGGTGCCGATTCTTAGAGAATCCACATCCAGAAACTGGGAAATGGAAATAAATCTTTCCTGTGCCTTGAGGCCTCTGGGGTATTTACTTATACTCCTTTGAGAGCTAGCCAGAGGTGGATTGTGGGTTAGCAGAAGTGGGCTTGGAGGGGAGCTGTTGAGTCATAGGATCTGTTCAGAGCCAGGATGATAAATTGTAAAGCCTGGGGGTTTTGGAGATATTAGGCATTATATGAGTTCAAGGGGAACGAAAGGTGCCTTGCAGGTGTGCTCTTTTTGGGAGGGCTTATTCTGGGGCTGAGGGATATGAGTGAGGGGCTACTTTCTACATGTTGAGGGACAAGCCACTGGAGTTGGTGTAGTGAAGTGGGAATGCCGTTCTCCCAAACTTGGATAGGCGAAAGGGGTGAGACACCGGGTTGGGGGAAAGAATAAGGTTTTTGAAGATTCATATTAGTGTCCTGACATTTGTGACTAGAAGGGAGCACCGAATATACTGGCTGGCAGGAGTTACGGAATATACATAAAATAAGAAACAAGAAGAAAATGCAAATGAGAATCTTGTAGAGATTTAGGAGTCTGAAAAGTGAGGAGGGATGGGGACACCTTGAATGCAGAAGATGAGACTAGGAATGTGGTATTTGAGCCAGAAAATTAGTTGAAATCCAGGGTAGTCAGAATAGAACAGGGCTTGGCATGGAGCCTGGGGAAAGTGGGGAATGCAAGGCAGGCTTGGGGGTGAGGACCAAATTTAGGGCCAGAGGTGTCCATCCTCCAGGTCCAACCCAGGAGAGATGTGTGCATTTGGCTCTCAAAACAGTTTCCCCACGGCCTGGGAGAGCCATGAAAGGCCAATCTCACCTCTATACACCAAGATATGCCTTAACTGAGTAAACACGTTAGCCATGTCCCTGGGTATTTGTGTGTCAGTGAGTAAGTCTGACTAGGAGCCTGGGGACAGGCAAGGAAAAGGCTGATGGTATGTGTGTGTTGGGGAGAAGAAATTGAGGGCTGGCTTGAACTTGGAATGTGTGGAGTATTTTCCTTCTTTGTTGACTAGTGAGAGTAACTTTCTGTGATTCCACAGTTAAGAGCTCTGTTGTAGATCACAGGGATGGAGTGGTAGGTACCCACCTGTCCTTGTCTAATCCAGGATGTGTCACTTCCATCAGTGATGGATGCTTCTCTCCTCACCTGAACTTATGTTGGTGGGTGTGGTAGATCCCAGGTTATTATGGGCAGTTCTGCCAACCTGGTCACATTACAGACCACGTTAAGACTCTCTATCTCTCCTCAGGCCTAAGAGCCTCTTGGGAGCTGTTGTTATATTGCTGTAGAAGATATGGCCTCATTCACAAGGAGTGTGCCCAGGAGTAATTACTTTATTAGGTCTCACCAGAGGTTTCACAAAGCACCTTTCATTCTTCTAACATCAATTAGCAACTTGTCTTTTCTCCGGAGGGTACGTCCAGCATGGCCCAGACTAGTGGTGCCATAGATGTGGCAGATCCCTGAATGGTCCCAGATGTGGATGGCCCTATAGCTTACGCTTTGCTTAAACTGCTGATCACAAGAGTTGATCCTGTCTCTGGTGTCACTGTCATCACTAATGTCATTGTCTTAGAGCATCAACGTTAGCAGGCATCACTTCCACTCTTTGGAGCACACGTGTCTTACTAAGGCATTTAGAAACTTACAGTTTTGTTTTTCTTTAGCAGGAAAGCCTCTAGTTCCCGCCATTTTTATGATTTGAGTTTGGCATTGAATTAACTTGGAGAATGAACACTTCTATTTGCCCTGGTAGGTAGGGGCGATTCATGGGATCATCATTCGTGCAGCCACTTAGAAGGGCCTGTGGCGGGTTTATTAGTCTGCATTTGTCATCCTGAAATTCTTAATTTGAACAAAGAGCCCAGAACTTTCAGGTTACTTTTCATAGTCCTGCCCCTACACCTGACCATTGGTTGGGAAAATTTTGTTATGTAACCATAAGAGAGCAGTACAACAGCAAGGAAACCTGGAGAAGCTGTGAAGGAATGTAGAGAAGTATTTGCCTTTTTCTACTCTGTTTATGGCATTTCCAGTGTCTAATGAGCAGGACCATCCCACGCCCACCTCTGTAGCTCACGAAAGGAAGGTTCTCTGTCTATGATGTTCTCTGGAGATTCAAATTTAAAGAAATCTCAGATAGTTGGCTCAAATGTGAATGGCATTAAAAAGACACAATAAGTCTACATTAAATATTGGTCTTTATAAAAATACTGGAGAGAAAGAGAGAGAGAGAGAGAGAGAAAATTGATGATGAGAAAGAAATCAGGTGAGTTTTCATCTACCAAGAGGAAAGACTTTGCAGTAGATAATTCAAAAAATTAGTAAATAAACTCAAAGAATGTCATTTAAAAAACTTTGCTTCCATCCAGGGGAGTTCTCATTGTTTGGGGCAGATATCCTGAGTATGGCCCATAGAAACCAGCACCTTCCAGTGATAACTTTTAACAGAACACACAGAGACACAGGGCTTATCAGGCAACATTCAGTGTTGTCACAAAAACTATGAAGAATATCCAACAGGAGATAGCTGGGACCTGGCTTTGCTTACAGTGTGAATATCAGAAATGGAATAACTTTTTCATGTTCCACCTGCAGAGGGAGTTAAAATCTCCTTGGGTTGTAGAGGGTCACCTCAAAACAATTTACCTTCTCTGGGCCTTCAAACTCATTAAGATTGGTCCTTGAAGCCCAAATGACTTGGATTTTTGTCCAAATGATATATAATGGCCACTGGCATATTCTTTGTACTTGTTTTGTTATATTTTTATATCAGGAGGATAAAATTAAAATAAA